GGACTCTGATTACTTACCAAAGTTTATGTAAATCTTCATTACTTTTGTTCCTTAACTGCTGACAGGTCCATGCAGCTCCTATTAAAATAATAAATTCCTAACATGAAATAATTTTCTAGCTATATGTCCTTTGGCAAATTACTTAATCTTTCAAACCAGTTTCCTTATCTGTAAAATATATTATAGCTTTATTATATTGTAGTATAAAATGCAATTAGAATTAAATTGGGGTTAAATTAGCTAACACATGAAAATATGAGTAATGAGACTGGCAACAGCATTAAAAAATGTTAATATGACTATAGAATGTTTTTATAGTGTAAGGTAAAAATACATCATTATAAATTAATTTTCAATCATCTCTAAAAAATAAAATTTAGGCCGTGATCAGGTAGCTCACTTGGTTAAAGTGTTATACCAATACACCACAGTGGCAGGTTCAATCTTTGGTGAATGCACCTATAAGAATTAACCGCTGAATGCATAAGCAAGAGGAGCAACAAATCTATGTCTGTCTATCTGTCTGTATCTCTTTCCTTTCTTCTCTTCTCTCTAGAAATTAATAAAGTAAATATATATATATATATATATATATATTTTTTTTTTAAATAAAATCTAAAACAAATCCAAACATCAATTTAGTGAAAAAATTTAAGCCGCCTCCTCTTTTTTTATTTTTTATTTTTTTTAATCAATCTTTATTGTTCATATTATTACAAAGGTTTCTCATTTCTTCCCCCCTCCACCAGGATCCCACCCCACCCTCCACCCCCTTCCCCTCCCCCATTGTCCTCATCCATAGGTGCACAGTTTATGTTCAGTCTCTTCCTCCCTCCCTTTCCCCGATAGTAAATCCCTTTTCAGATAGTAAATCAGTTACTTAGCATTTTCTCATATCAATAATACCTCCACATGCCCAAAGATACACTTCACACAAAAGACATTTCCAAATAGGTCAACTAGCCTCATCCAGGCCTCGCACAAGGCACTCACAGATCAACACCCCAGCGCTATACTAACTCAACACATCCAGATCTAAGCCTTCATCACTTGATTCAGCAGACCCTCAAGTTCCCGCAAAAGATTCCAGCCATCTCTGAGAGGCAGCCTTGGGGCGGGGGTAGGCGAGGAGCGAGCTGTTCCAGGCCTGGCTGCTCCGGGCCTGGCTTCTGTTGCTCTGGGCTGTTCCACAACCAGCTGCTCCGGGTCTGGCCACTGCCGCTCCCGACCTGGTTGCTCCGGGCTTGGCTGCTGCTGCTCCGGGCCTGGCCGCACCCGACCCGGCTGCTTCGGGCCTGGCCGCGCCCGACCCGATTGCTCGGGGCCTGGCCGCACCCGACCCGGCTGCTCCGGGTCTGGCTGCTCCCAGCCTGGCAGCTGCAAGCCTCCTCCTCTTCTAAACCTTTTGCCAAGCTGCCAAGGAACAATTAACTCTATTATATTGTCCTTTTAATTTTCACTGATAGATATTCCTAAAGGAAATTAAAAAAAAGAAACACCCAAGTCATTCCTAAACTGGATAAATAATCCCAACATGATGGATGGTTCAAAAAATATATTTACTACCAATCAACCCAAATATCTCACCAGATTTCACTTTTTCTTCTCCCCAGTTCTTTGGGTCATCAAAAAATTCTTCCAGTCCTTTCCTTGATAACGTGGTATGAATTATTCTACACTGGGGTAAAGATGTGACACTTGGTATATTCTTAGGCAACAGAATAAGGGAAAACCTGCAATTGAACACATAAACAATTGCTACCCTATAATTTCAGAGGTAGTATATTTACATTTATATTTTAAGGTAACATATGTAGATCCTTCATAAACTACTAATAGACATATGAGTAGATTAAAATTATTCTGAAGGTTAACTTTGCAACATGTATTAGAGGCCCCAATGTTTCTTCCCTAACTCATTAAGTCCACATCTAGAAATATTAACTAAAGAAATATCATAGAAGGAAACTGATAAATTTTAATATCTATTAAAACATTATATATGATATTAAAAAGATGATATTGTAAATGTGCAACCATGAGTGGTTTAAAAAATTATGTGTTCATACAATAATCTATTATGCAGTAACTTAAAAATCATGTTTTTAAAGAATATTTAATGACCTGGTAAATAATTTAAAATACAATAATGAAGCATGTCACAAGTGTTGCATTTTTACAAAAAAAAAAAAAAAAAAATTAACCTGAATTTAATCATGAGGAAACAATCAGACAAACCCAAATAGAGAGATATTCTAAAAAGATTGATCTGCCGAAACCGGTTTGGCTTAGTGGATAGAGCGTCGGTCTGTGGACTGAAAGGTCCCAGGTTTGATTCCGGTCAAGGGCACGTACATTGGTTGGGGGCACATCCCTGATAGAGGGTGTGCAAGAGGCAGCTGGTCGATGTTTCTAGCTCTCTATCCCTCTCCCTTCCTCTCTGTAAAAAATCAATAAAATATATTTAAAAATAAAAATAAAAAAATAAAAGATTGATCTTATAAAAAAGATGTCAATGTCATGAAAGAAAAAAGAAACAATTCTGGATTTTAAAATATTAAAGAAACATGACAACTAATGCAAAAAAATGAATGTTGTTTGGACCCTGAATAAAAAAATAAAAAAACTATCAGGACAATTGAAGACATTTGAATTTGGCCTATAATAGTAGTGGAATAATAGAAGGTATCAGTATTCTTCAGTGTGTGGATTATTGGCTCAGTTGATAAGAATGTTGGTCAGGGTTTGATTTTGGTCAAGGGCACGTACCTGGGTTGCAGTTCCTCCCTAGCTTGGGCCCTGGTGAGGGCGCGGGCAGGAGGTAACCAATTGATGTGTTTCTCTCATATCAGTATTTCTCTTTGTCTTTCCCTCTCTCTTCCACTCTCTCTGCAAATCAATGGAAAAATATCCTCGAGTGAGGATTAAAAACAACAAAAACATTGGTCTTGTTCTTATGAGGTATATGCTGAAGCGTCATGATGCTTGCAATTCGATGTGCTTCAAATAGTTTGGGGGGAAAAAGGTCTGGATATATAGCGATAAAAAATGTAACAAAATGCTAACGGTTGATTAATATAGATAAAGAGTATATGATTATTCTTGGTACAACTTTTCTGTTCTGAAATTCTTAAAAAGTTGGGGAGACAAGGGTAGAGCACAAGAATGATATAGGTAAATATAGTCATTATTTTCTTTTAAAACTAGAGGCCAGTGCACAAAATTCGTGAACAGGTAGAGTTCCTAGTGGCTGCTGGCTGGGGTCTTCATTCAGCGCTGCCCCCTGGTGGTCAGCACACATAATAGCGAGTGATTTACCTCCCAGTCAGTGGAACTTCCCAGGGGACACTTTGCATATTGGCTTTTATATACGCAAAATTAAAAAGGGCAGGAAATCTGTTTATCTCTGAGTGCTAGAATGAGAGTTTAGTTTCTTCTCCAAAATACTTGACCCTATTTCCAAAGTGTCTGCAAATGAGCATAATTTATTCTAATAAAGAAATCTAACATTAATTTTTAAGGAAAAAGGAAAACCAGATGGGAGAGACAATGGATTCAAGTTTGCCACCTTGATCAAGTTACGAACTCTGAGCCTCTGCAAAATGAAAACAATATTGCTTATCTCCAAAGTTATGTGTCATATGAAGGAACACTGTAATATAACAGATGCTCAATAATTGTGCTGGACTCAAGAGCATATACATTACTTCCTTTTAGGAAAAAAAAAAAAATCGGACAGATCCAACTATTTATAAAACTCAAACCATTACAGACAAAAGCTAATAAGAGGGAGGAAACATATACCCTCCTAAAGTAAAAAATGATCGGTCTGACTTTTATTGACTTTCCAGAAATAATAAACACCATGTGTAGGATGTTCCTTTCTCCCACCTGCAAGGACAACTTTCCATTTACTTGGCTACTTTCATATATTCACTCAGCATCATTGAATAACTGCTTTGTGACACATCCCAGAAATAATAAGGCCCCTTCTTTATCCATCCATCCAAGCTTGACCCTTCCAAAGCCAACAGCTCTTCAGTGAGGTTTCCCCCAACTCGCAAGGCCAAATGGCTCCTTCTACACCTCTCCCTTTAATCCAACCAGCACTGGGCATCTGCAGACCCCATGTACAGCCTAGGTCACAGGAGGTGACAGCAACATGAGGCAGGAAGGGAAACGTCCTCAGTTGGGCGCAAGCATCATGACACTTCAGCTTATACTTCATAAGAACAAGAACAATGTTTTTGTTGTTTTTAATCCTCACTCGAGGATATTTTTCCATTGATTTGCAGAGAGAGTGGAAGAGAGAGGGAAAGACAAAGAGAAATACTGATATGAGAGAAACGCATCAATGGGTTACCTCCTGCCCGCGCCCTCACCAGGGCCCAAGCTGGGGAGGAACCTGCCACCCAGGTACGTGCCCTTGACCAAAATCAAACCCTGACCAACACTCAACTGAGGACACCTGAATTTGGCCTATAATAGTAGTGGAATAATAGTAGGTATCGGTATTAAACTCCTCAGTGTGTGGATTATTGGCTCAGTTGATAGAGTGCTGGTACGAAGTCACTCCTTCCTCCCAGTGTTCGGGCTCCAGCCAATGCGGCGACCTTTCCATCCTTCCCCGAGCTGCTGTCAGCATCTCTGCAACCAGACACGATCCCAGGCTGTTCGATACGGACAAACCTCCTCTTCCCGTCACTTACCCGGTGCCAGCAGAGCCCTGGGGGCTTAGGAACGACCCGGCAGTCTTCACGGCGGCGGACACTCTCCTGCAAAGAACGCCGAACCTGGCAGCAGCCATTTTCCTCGCGTCAGCAAACCGCGTCTCATCGACCGTGCGTCACTTCCGGTGCGTCCCTCCGACCGGAAGCAGAGCACAGGAACAGCTTTTGCCCTCACTCAACATGGCCGCCTCCCGCCTTTGCCCCGGATGGTAAATAGGCTCTCTCGGCTCCCGTCGCCCTCCCCCGCCTGACTTCCTGCCCGGAGTAGCCATGGCGGCCATGAGCTTGCTGCAGCGGGCTTCGGTCACCGCGCTGGCGGCGCTGGCTGGCCGCCGCCTGGGCCCGCGGCTCGGGTCCGGGGCCTTCCTCACGCGGGGCTTCCCGAAGGCTGTTGGTGGGTGCTGGCTTCGGGGGGGAGGGAGGGGGAAAAAGCGCTCTCAGGGGAAGCGGGGTGAGGAGGACTCTGCCAGGGTGACCTTGGCGGGACCCGGAGGGAGCCGAGGACTTGCGGGCTTGGGTTTGAGGGTTTAGACTACGCGTTAGCGTCTGTGAAACACTGGACCGCCGTTCAGTCTTCCCAGGTGGGCTAATTTCCGGACGAAGGTGAGGTCGGAAAGGCCCTGAGAACCGTGCCCCTGGGCATCAGGTTCGTCCTTTCTCCCCCCGAACTAGGTTCTGGTCGCGCCCTGCGGGAGGGGATGCTCAGTGACGCCCAGTGATGTGTGGACAGCGCGGAGGCTCGTGAGAAGGCATTTACGAATGCATCGGGACTTGCTGCAAAGGATGGGGAGTAGTCAACAAATTTCCCGCAGGAATTAGACCCTGGTACAAAACTGCTTTGCATAACAGCATTCCTTGACAAAATCCCTTTGTAAGCCATGTCTGAGGGCACGTATCCTCCTCTTTAAATACTCGCCAGGGTGGCCCTTCATCACGTCTAGCTGGAGCTGAACCGAGGTAAACCCCGTTCCTCCCCCCGTATGCACAGTCCCCTTTCTCGGAGGGATCAGGTTGCAGGAGCCCTTTCCACGGGCAGCAGGAGAGGATCTAATAGCGGTGCCCAGGGTTCCTGTGTTTCAGCTGCACCTGCTTTCAGAGGTGTTTTGCATGGGAAGCCTTACCTGTCACCGTGCAATGAAAGGTTTTAATCTGTTATATTATTGTTGATGTCTGCCCCCTAGGAGAATGTGAGCTCCAGCAGGGTAGAGAGCCTTGTTTTGTTTCCTCCGGAGTTAGATTGTAGGTTCCAGTCCCGGCTCCGCAGCTTAGTAGCTGTGTGACCTTGGGCCTTCACATCTTGGAAGCTAACTGGAAGGCTTGAAACTTGTCTTTTTTTCACCTCTGAAAAAGGGGATGCTTATTACAAGTGTGCTTGTTCTGTTGACTTGACAGGGAAATAAAATAAAACTAATCTTCCTATTGACAATTATTTTAGAACCCTGAAATGTATTTTGTATATTTCTAGAAATGTCATTTCAAAATGAGCTTGTTTTTTTTATCATTAGAACTGGAGAGAGGGGAGGAGGGGGGCAGAATGGTAATTTTAACGTACCTTATAAGGTAGTTGTATAGAGCGAGTGGGAAAAATCTACAGCACCTAGCACTAGCCTTTTACAGGGCCCTGTGGCTACATTTTCTTAAACAGCTAGTACTGTTGTGTTACCCTCAGTGGAAAACTTTCTTAGAAAACAATATATTAAAATATTTTCTCTTTTTAATTAAATTATCAATAAAATGTCAAATAGCAAGGGATTCAAGAAATGAGCTTAAGTTCCCTCTGTAACTGCAGTGAATTTTAATGTTGAAGATTGATGTGCAATATTTTGGGTTTTGTTTTGTTTTTAATGTGCATATTTTTGGTTTAAAAAAAATACTGAGAATAGTATTCAAATTATTATGTAATCAAAGTGCCCTGGCATTTATTCAGGCATGGAAGATGAAGCATATAAACTGGATTCTGAGGTAGTTTGAACAACTACAAATACAGACAGAAAAGTAAAGGATGTGTTTTGTGTTATATTTGAATATGGGCTCTTGGGGTATGCAGCTGTTGGGAGAAAAGGCTTAAAAAAAAAAAGGAAAGTTGGAGAATAGTCACAGAGATGTGTATTACCGCATAAGCAATATAGTCAATAATATCTTAATAATTACATGTGGGGCCAGGTATGTGCTTGAAGCATGGTGGGACGGGGGTTGGGGAGAGGGCATCATTCTGTAAAGTACATGATTTTCTGGCCACTGTGCTGTACATCTGAAACTAATGCAGGGATGGTATTGAATGTAGACAGTAACTGAAAAATAAAAAAAATAAATTAAAAAAAAAGGGAATTTGGGACCTAATTGGTGAGGGGAGGGAATGAATATAAAGCCAAATTATATTATCTGTTTTGTAGGCAGTAGAGAATTTTAGCAAAAGAGCAGTATCAGTAGGGTGTTTTAGGAAAATGCTTGTGAATATTGGATGGATTCTAGGGGGTGTTCATTCTTTAAACTGTTGATGTAAAGTGACATTAACTGGGAATAGTCTGAGAATGAGGGAAAGAAAATGACCAATTTTCAATTTCTTGGAAACACACACATACATAAAATCATACAGTATCTTATTTGATCCACACAAAGATCACATTTGTTAAATAACTTTTTTAACAACTGAGGTTATTTGCATTTTTAAAAATTGTTATTGAAACCTAGTTGTACATAATGAATACTTGAGAAATTCCAGGCTTTCTAAAGTGGTGGAAGATGCCTGTTTTTGTGGCACCAAAAGGGTTCCAGTTCAATTTCTGGTCAGGGCTTGATCCCAGCAGGTGTGTGTAGGAGGCAGCCAATTGATGTTGCTCTCTTCCTCTCCCTTTCTCCCTAAAATCAATAAAAACATTTTTTTTTTTTTTTAAAGAATGAGTTCTTGGAAATGGAAGGAAATGATTGAAATTAATGAGTTGGTAAAGTATGTCTTTTTATTCTAAGAGAGTCCATATATTCACATTCTTTAAGGAAAAAGACCTTAAAAATCCTCTAGACCAGTGGTTCTCAATCTTTCTAACACAGCGACCTTTTAATACAGCTCCTCATGTTGTGGTGCCTCCCAACCATAAAATTATTTTCGTTGCTACTTCATAACTGTAATTTTGCTACCGCTAGTAGCCTAAGACCATCAGAAAACACAGATATTTACATTACCATTCATTAACAGTAACAAAATTACAGTTATGAAATAGCAATGAAAATAATTTTATGGTTGGAGGTCACCACAACATGAGGAACTGTATTAAAGGATTGCAGCAATAGAAAGGTTGAGAACCCTCCCCCCCATAATATACTAATCCCCATTACTGATACCTGAGTCACTACTTAATATGTTTTTGTTGCTTTTAGAGAGAGAGAGTGAGAAGGGTGGAGAGGTAGAAACATGATGAAACAGAAACGTGGGTTGACTGGCTGCCTCCTGCACACCTCCTACTGGGGATCGAGCCTGAAACCCGGGCAGGTGCCCTCACTGGGAATTGAACTGGTGAACTCTTGGTTCAGGGGTCGGTGCTCAACCACTGAGCCACACTGGCTGGCGCTTTTACTTTCAACCACTGAACTTGTTAGAAACTTCTTCCTCGTATTAAGCTCTACATTACTCTTTCACACATTGGAAGGTCTTTGCTTCAGCTCAACACAGAATAAATAGTCTATACCTTTTGCCATGGGACAGCCCTTCAGATCCTTAAAAGCTCTGGTTTCTAACCAGACTTCTTTCTTGTAGACCAACCAGCTTCAGTTCTTTCATTTTCGATATGTCAGTTTCCAGGTTGTTTTTAATTCTGGTTGCATAAGTGGGGGCAGGCTCCAGGTTGTCGCTCTAGAACTCTGGGGACACCTGGAGATTAGGAGGCAGGGATTCCTCCCATTTTGACCTTGAACTTTTAATACATCATATTAAGATAAAGTTACCTTGGCTTTTTTTTGGTAACCACATTACACCAATGACTTACTCTAAGTTTGTGAGCCACTTTGGGGGTGGGGATCCAAGCAGGACTTTCCACTTACACTTAATCATTTTAGATTCAGCCTTTTGTAAATGTGTATGAAGACTTTTGGAAGATCCTATTTTCATCATCAGTGCAGTAACCACTCTTGTGGCAGTAGCTTTGTGACTTGTCAGGAATACCATCTTGATCCTCCAGGGCTATCGAGACAACTCTTTGGCAGGTTACTGCATTAAGTAATCAGTACCTTTTGAGTGTAATCAATCAATTGCCCATTTCAAATTCATCTAACTTGATATTTCTCTCAGTTTATAATGTGCCTTTCCTTGTACCTCCTTGCTCCCTCTTCCCAGCCCCTCACCCACACACAGACCATCCTGTCTAAACATGAACTTTACTTCTTTTTTTTTTTTTTAATATATTTTATTGATTTTTTTACAGAGAGGAAGGGAGAGAGATAGAGAGGTAGAAACATCAATGAGAGAGAGAGAGAGAAACATCGACCAGCTGCCTCTTGCACACCCCCTACTGGGGATGTGCCCGCAACCGAGGTACATGCCCTTGACCGGAATCGAACCTGGGACCTTTCAGTCCTCAGACCGATGCTCTACCGCTGAGCCAAACCGGTTTTGGCTGAACTTTACTTCTGAGCCTGTTCTTTTCTGACAATGCATCGTATTTCTTTCCTTTGTTGTCCCTATAGATTTGTAATTTTGTTAATCTCTTAGTGTCTTGCTTCCAGTAGGGTCGGTCTGTATCCCTCTTGGACAATAGGCCTAGCATAGTCTGCACTTATAGTATTATCCAGCCCATTTTTTTCCATATAGCTCACACAAAAAAAATTCTATAACTTTCAAGTGATTTCTTGAAATACATACTTTGTCAAATTCTCTTATCTTGTTATTGCCACAGCTTTAGTAGTATGAATTGTACTTAGTAAATTCATACCAGCTTCTAATTCTTTTGTGAATTAACCACCTAAATTCATTTCAAGCTGCTGCGGGTGATACCAAAATTAAGAGAAGAGTTCCTCTTTCACACATTGAAAGTTCTTTCACATTTATATTTTATTGGGAGAATGAAGGGAATTAGACACCTCCCTAGAATATACAGCAATTCAAAGGTAAGAGGGTTCTCATCTGGTTGGAAGAACGTTGGTTTCTTGGAGGATAAGATGTCATCTGGGCCCAAAGAACAGATCCCAGTAGAGGGGAGCGCATTCCAGACCCTGAAGCTTGAACAAAGGATATAGAATGTAGTTACCCAGCCGAAACAGAGCCTTTTCTGCTTCCAGAAGAGGGGCTTGCAGTGCCCATGTGATCTTTCTAGGCTTCCAATGGAGGAAATGGTGTAGAAAGAAGATCCAGGAGTTAAATTTTGCCTCTCTTTATCTCCAGCAAAGTTTGATTAAATACCATCATCGGGAGTATTTGAAGAGGAGGATATTGGGAATGAGAAATGGCTTACAAAGGAATTTTATCAAGCTATGTAGAGTGTTTACTTTTGTAACAAGTTCAAATTCCTGCTGGATATATGTTGAATAAATGTCTTTCCATCTATTTTGTAGCAAGTGTTTATTGCCTCATATGGAATGGCATAACAAATTTATTTCTTTTGCAGCATTAGCAAAATTTGTTGCAGAGGGTAAACCAAGAGTATCTGCCTTTCCTATCTACTATTGAAACATTCAAACAATTGTTTAGGTATTTTTATAACATTGAATAAAAATGAGGAAAGCAATAGTAAAACAGAACACCAATCTCTGTTTAAGGATATCCTACCTGCCCTGCCTTTAATGCTTAAAGAGCATGCATTTTGAAGTCTTAATTTAAAATTTATGCATATACATTTTCTTATAATCTGACTTTATCTCAGAAAATAACAGAATACCGATATGAAACTTGTATAAAACAGGGTAATTTAATATTTCCAGCTCCTGTGAGACACAGTTCGGACCATGGGAAAAGACTGTTTGTTATCAAACCTTCTGGATTCTATGACAAGCGTTTTTTGAATTTACTGGTGAGTTAAAATTTTTGTTGAACTATTTTTATGTAAGTAGGAAGGCCATTTTGGCCTATGTAGAAAACATCTTTCATTTTATATTTTCATATGTATTTTCTCAAAGGTCTGATTAGTTACTAAATTTCTTTTTAAATTAGTTAACCTTTTTTCCTTCAAAAAAAAGATTTATGCCTATTGGAGGCTATTGGAGGTTAAAAATTGAGCCACTCCTTTCTTCTCTGGATTATGGGGTTTTGAAGTCTGTGTTCCCTGACAAAAAATAAAAATCTATAAGTTACAGAATTTTGAAAATAGATTTATTTGGGGATAATTATTTATATTATTAAAATATTCTTTAAATTGCCAAAGGACTAACTGAAGTCTTTCTTCAAATAAGGCCTTCCATTATTATTAGAGATCATTTTATTTCTATAATTCTTAGGAACATTGATTCAGAGAGTAAAGCAGAGTACTTATTATTCATGCAAGGTTCTATAATGGAAAGGAGGGTGTAGAGGATGGAAGACTATCTGGGCTCTTTGTCACTGTTCCTAAAGCCGTGACCCAGCATTTGAGCATGGGCTGCCCCCCAGACCTTCTTTCACGCTGTCATTGTGCTCAGTGCCCCTCCCCATCCCCTTGGTTGAGCTCCCATTGTTATTGTCATCGTCCCTAACTGCTCTCCCCTGCTGGTCTTCTCCCCACCCCCCAACTGCCCTCCCTGCAGGCCTGGAACCCCCCTAACTGCCCCCACCTGCCAACTCAGGTGCTATACAGTGGCTGAAATCAACCTGATGTTTTTATACTTTTTTATTGAGTTTATTGGGGTGACATTGGTTAATAAAATTGTATAGGTTTTAGGTGTACAATGCTATATGTATTTTTCTTCTTAATATAAAAACTTCTAACTTTCATTATATTGCTTTAATTAAAAAATCACTTACATAGTATATATTATATAATACTTATACAGTTAATCTCTTTTTTTCTTTAATTTTTGGTATTAAATTTAGGCATCTAAATACTAGAGCAAAAGAAAATTACAGAAATAAATCATTTGATACTGTATCTCAAATTTGGCAAGTTTATTTTATTAGTAATATAAGAACGTCATGTAATAAGGACAATTTAAGGGTGGGAAAGAGTGTTAGGAAATGGTTATTGAAAAATTTTTTTTTTACTAATCTTGACAGAAATTCTACGTTTGTTTGACTGGGATTCCGGTTATAATTGGCATAACTCTGGTGAATGTATTCATTGGTAAGTCCCTCCCTCTGAACAAATGGATAAATTTTATAAACTTATGTACATTAATAAAAAATAATTATGGATAAGGAAAAGCTCTTTGAATAAAAAACATAAGCATGGAAATTTATTTTAAAATAAATAAATCTTATTCCATAATAGTGTATAATGATTTTTTTAAAAGAAACATTTTGGTTTCTTCCTAAAGCTTATAAAAGGCTTTATAAAAGGCTTTATGAAGCCTTGTCTTCCTCCTCTTTTTCCAAACCCAGCTTTGATAAGACAGGACAAGGAAAATAGAGATATGTGGAAGAGAGGCTGAGGGATGGTAGAATGTTTTTATCCATCTTAGAACACATCCTATATAATAAAAGCCCAGTGACTGAAAGGCAGAACCACCAGAACAACTGGTCAACCAGTCGCTATGATATGCACTGACAACCAGGAGGCAGACGCTCAGGGCAGGAGCTGCTTGGCTGACCAGGATGAACGGTGCTCCCACAGCAGAGCAGCTGTGGAGAGGGCGGGTCTGCAGCAGCTCAGCTGACCGGGATGAGCAGCCCTCACACTGGAATTGTGAATGACAGTAAATATTAAGTTTTTATAGGAAATTCTGCTCAAAGTACTAACATCTTGAGTCCAAGAATATTTTGTTTAGTTGGTATGGAGAAAGCCAGCAGGAATAGTATGTCTTTTATTATATCTTGGTGTACTGTATAATCACAAAATGCAAAATTCTCGTATAATCCTATAGACAATGTCTTACATGTACAAGACATATCTAATGAATGGATTTTCAACCATGTTGAAGAGAATTTAAAATAGTAGATATTTTCATTGATACAAATAAAAGGTCACTTTAAAATCATAAGAGATTGGTTTCTTACATAGTGCAGACTTAATGTTATAAACTACTAATGGTGAAGTTGAACGTCACTGTTTTCTCTTATTAGGTGAAGCTGAGTTAGCAGAAATTCCAGAAGGCTATATCCCAGAACACTGGGAATATTACAAGGTTAGTATAAATCACCACCAAGTTACCTTCTGTTAGCTGTCTTATCAGTACACTGGTTAAAATCTTAATTCAGCAATTAAGATAGGGTTTTATATTCAGTTTTTTATAACAAGTAGATGAATACATTTTCTGCTCACTTTTTACAAGGAGCTTCTTTTGGTAATTTTCTGCATTGTTTTATTATTTTAAGTTTTATGGTTATTTATTTACTAGAGGCCCAGTGCACAAAATTTGTGTATAGGGATAGGGATGTCCCTTAGCCCAGCCTGCACCCTCCAATCTGGGGTGCAGTCAGACATCCCTCTCACAATCCACACTGCCGGCTCTCAACTGCTGGCACACAGAGACACTGCTACTAAAATCCAAGATGGGTTGTTACTTGCTTTTACAAGTATTGTAGTGAGTGGCCTTATTTGAGTATATCCTATCATGTTTTATTATCTGAGTGAATTATATTTTGGGGAAGAAGTACTTCATTATTAAATCTTAAAATAAGCCATACAATTAGTAGTTTATCTTTCCTAACTGATAGAAAGAGCTCCATTTTTTTTTTTTTCACCAAACCTTGGATTTAGCTTCTAAATCTGTCACAGGTTTTTGGAGTCAGACAGACCTGGTTTGAGTCCAGATGCTGCTGCTTAGTAACTGTATAACTTTGTTCAGTTTGTTTTCCATAAAATGGAGCGGAATAGTATGCAGCTACTGGATAAAGTAGTCAGCACATGGTCAGTGTTATTTTATCTGAGATTGTCATTTATACAGAATAGTAAGCTGGAAAGGCAAAATATTATTCAGAAACTAATTTTACACAAATTTTCTCTTGTAGCATCCTATATCAAGATGGATTGCCCGAACTTTTTATGATAGTCCTGAGAAGAATTATGAACGGACAATGGCCATCCTTCACATTGAAGCTGAAAAGGCTGAATTACGGTAAAAAGTGGGGGTGGGAAGAAAATCCTCTAGTATGGTCAAATCATAAGAAAAAAAATTAATAGAACTATTTCAGTGTTATAGGCTGCTCTGTGAAAAAGAATGAAGATGGGGGAGAGTTAGCCTGTTTAGAGTGTAGACTATGAGCTGGAGATAAACAATCCTATATAATAAACAGGTAATATGCAAATTGACTTTCACACCCTCACATTTGGTCATCCCTCACTAACCCACGCTGGCAGGAAGGTTAGTGAGGGATGACCAAATGACTGAACAAGCAGGCTGTGTGGGATGACTGGGCTGGTAGGGGGGGTAGTGAGAGATGACCAAACGACTGAATAGCAGGCTGCATGGGATGACCAGGCCAGCAGGGGAGGGGCAGTTGGGGGCAAACAAGGCAGCAGGGAGAGTAGTAAGAGGCAACCATGCTAGTCAGGCCAGTGGGGGTAGGCAGTTAGGGGTGACCAGGCCTGTTGCAGTTGGGGGCAACCAGGCTGGCAGAGGGGGTAGTTAGGGGCAATCAGGCTTGCATACAGAGGCACTAAGGGGCGATCAGGCAGGGGGGCAGTTAAGGGTGACGAGGCAGTCAGACAGGTGAGCAATTAGGAGCCAGTAGTCGAGGATTGTGAGAGGGATCCCAGATTGGAGAGGGTGCAGGCTGGGCTGAAGTGAGCCCCCCCACCGTGCACAAATTTTGGCCTCTCTTTAGGAGATAATATCTGTCATATTAAAATAAATTCTCTTTAAAATATTCTATTCTCCTAAGACAGTGGTTGCCAAACTGTGGCTCATCAGCCACATGTGGCTCTTTGGCCCTTGAGTATGGCTCTTCCACAAAATCCCACGTGCAGGTGCACACTTACAGTGTGATTGAAACTTTGTAGCCCGTGCGCTGGAGTCAGTTTTTTGGCTCTCAGAAGAAACTGCAATCGTTGTACTGTTGATATTTGACTCTGCTGGTTAATGAGTTTGCCGACCACCACCCTAAGAGCAAGGCAGTCTTCTCCTTCCACTTCCCCTCCCCCAATTTCTTTTCCTTCTGCCCCCAGTCTGTCCTTAGAGGTGACCACTACTTAATTTCCAATATATGTTTCCTTCCCAAAATTTTATGCATTAAAAATACATTTTGTGTACCATTTGAAAACTATTAACACAATGGAATCCTCTTATAAACATGGTTCTGCACCTGACTTTGTTTCACTTAAAGATACCTTGGCGATCTTTCTGATAGTATATGCCTCATTCTTTTTAATGGATGCATCATATATTTTGCTAGATGGATGTGCTTTAATTTTTTTAACCAGTCACCTATTGTCAGTACTTAGGTTCTTTCCAAGTTTTTTTTTTTTTTTTTTAAATATTCTGCAAAGTGCTATGAATATTCCTTATGTACATTTTTGCATATTTATTCAGTATATCTGGAATATAAATTTTTAGCAGTGGTATTGATAAGCCAAATGTTACATGTTTTAAATTTTAAATGTGTATTGCTAAACCCTTCAAAAAAGTTGTGCCAGTTGTCTTTTCTGTCACAAGTATGTGGTGATTTCTTTTTCTTTATACCTTTCCTAGTTATGGAATTTATCTGATGAGATAGTTGAAAAATGTTATCTCATCATTTCCATTTTGTATTTTTGTAAGGTTGAGTATTTTTTCATATATCTGTTGGTTGTTTACATTTTATTTTCTATAAATTGTCCATTTTTCTATTCATCTATACATTAAATTGATTTTTGTTTTTCTTACACATACCTTTTCCTGGTTTATCATTTGTCTTTTGACAGTGCAGAACGCTTTGCCATGTAGAAATGTTTTTATATTTCAGATAAAAATTAATAGTAGCTAATATGTTTTGAACACTGCAGTGTAACATTGCTTTAGTTATTTTATATTTATTTTCCTACTTGTCAGGTTTGTCAGTCTTTTTTTTTTTTTTTTTTTAAGGTTCTGGGATTTTGTGTTGTGCATAGGTCTCTGATCCAAAATTATTTTTTTAAATGGTCAGTTTCCTTCTGCTGCTTTTAAATTTAATCCTATCTGAGATTCATTTTGGGGTTTGGAGTGAGACTTACATACATTCAAATGTACACATTAAGCTCAGTGGGTTTTTTTCTATGGGCTAACGATAACTTATTTAACCAGTCTCCTTTGTGTGAATATTTTAATTACTTGAGTTCTGGATAATTATATTCTAAAGAGTAAAAAAGGAAAAGAATGATATTTAATCTTAAATAAGAGATAAATATGCTCCTAGGTTAGTGAGCTGGTTAAAGTTAATAAAATGAATTATTTAAATGTGATAAATTTATAGTCATAGTTGATATGTAGTCTATAAATTGTAAGTAAAAGGTTTGGTGGAGAGGGACTGTTCAGGAATGTGTGGTAGTTTGTACAAAGGTGTGGCTGTAGGAGAGGAAAGTATCTTGATAGAATAGAGATTATTTGGTTGTGAAGAAGGATGAGGACAAGTAATTAGGCCTTATGTTGTAGGATGTTTTTCTTATGTTGTTTTCTTTCTTGTTTTCTTTACAAATACCAATTGTCTGATGCTGACCAGGCTTAGTGTGATGCTGTTGAATAAGATACCATTCCTGTTCTCATGTGGTTTCCTGTCCTAATGGTAATGGACAGCCAGTATAAACCAGGGGATGTAAGCTCCTCCAGGAAGGCATCTTCATGTTTTAATTCCTAGCCCTTGGCACAGCATATGGCCTTAATCCTAGGCATTAAAGACAGAGATGCATTACCACTATTCAAGTGAAGGCGCTCTGTCCAGACAAAGCAGGGACAGAAGTAGAGAACTGATTACCAATTCAAGTAATGTTTTGGGGATTAAAAGCAATATGTGTTAGCTAACTATATAAGCAAGATAATAAAAGTCAAAAACAAGTCCTAAATTTTGCTTATAGGTATATATTAATTTTATGCATACACATGGATCTGTAGGTGGACATTATACTTACGTAAAGCTAAAAGCTCTCTAGTGGTTGTTTTTTATCTTGGTAACTCAATAAATATGTATTTGGAAATGTTAGAATCACAATATTGCTATTTCATTTATTACAGGCTAAAGGAGATAGAAGTACGAAGATTAATGCGTGCGAGAGGTGATGGTCCCTGGTTTCAGGAACCAACCATTGATAAGGAGCTTATTGATCATTCTCCCAAAACACTTCCCGATGCCTAATTTTTTATTTCTCTAAATATAAAGTTCATTCTCTTTATGGAAAAATGAAGTAATAAATATATTTCGTGCTTTTGCTCAGAATAATGAATAAAAGACACTCTTCCATTGCTTTATTTCTCAATGTTGGTTCAGATTAAGGCTTTTTCCATGTATGATCTTAATTTTTTTCAGCTTTCTGGGGCATAATTGACAAAAATTGTAAGATATTTAAAGTGTTCATTTGGTATGTGGATACATTGGGGGTGGCAGATTAAAGCTGTTGACTCGGGAGTTTGAACTTCCTCTTTTAAGAAGGTTTAAACAATTTTTTTAAACTTGGAGAGATAGGCATTTGCAAACTCTTTAAAGGTGTAACTTTGAAAGGTTAATGTTTTACTTATCTGATAAATGGAAGTGAGAGAAATTTGAGTATGTTAAGTATCGGGAAGCATGGTAGTTTATGTGTATATTGTAGACATCTGGATTATTCGGGGGCAACTTGGAATTTTAAATTATACAAATACTGAGTCAATTAGATAAAATGTTAACACCTTAATAAACATTTTCAGTGAACAAATCTCAAAGTTATTTTCATGGTTTTTAACCATCTGCCATGCTTTTTAAATACATTTTTCTTAGTTGCAATTTCTATGATTCTTCAGAGTTCTTCTTTGCAAACACTGGAAAAGTTATTCCAAAAGGTAAAATGATTACTGCAAAGGTTATGAAATGTGAGTAAAAGGTAAAATAATGGCTGTCACTTATTAAGCATTTACTGTCCGCTGCACATTTTGACATTATTTTCAAAATGACCTTATGTGACATTTCTGTGCGTTGCAGATGAAGAATTGAGACTCAGAGATTTTTTAAAAAATATATATTTTATTGATTTTTTACAGAGAGGAAGGGAGAGAGATAGAGAGCTAGAAACGTCAATGAGAGAGAAACATCGATCAGCTGCCTCTTGGCAGCCTCCGGTAGGGGATGTGCCCGCAACCATTGTATTATACATGCCCTTGACTGGAATCGAACCTGGGACCTTTCAGTCTGCAGACTGACACTCTACCACTGAGCCAAACCAGTTTCAGCGGCTCAGAGATTTTAAATAGGTACTCAAGATTTACCAAAATAAACATTCACACTTCAACTTTCAAAATGACTTTTTAGCTTTAAAAATTATTTTTTTTCAGCAAATACCTTTTTATTTTATTTTATTGATTTTTTACAGAGAGGAAGAGAGAGGGATAGAGAGTTAGAAACATCAATGAGAGAGAATCATCAATCAGCTGCCCCCTGCTGGGGATGTGCCCGCAACCCAGGTACATGCCCTTGACCGGAATCAAACCTGGGACCTTTCAGTCTGAAGGCCTATGCTCTATCCACTGAGCCAAACCAGTTTCTGCTCAGCGGATACCTTTTGAGAGTTCTCTTGCCCTAAGTACCCTTTCTAATTCTCCAAGATCGGTTGCGGTGGTTGCATTTTCTCATTTCCCCAGCAGAGGGCTGCTTGTACTAGTTCCTTCCAGATTTGGTTCAGAGATTCCCTGTGGGATCTAATTACCACCTCATAATTCTGCTAAAGTATTTGGGTGAAGGGCCTGCTGTCCTTAAGCACCTGCTTGCACAAACCTTTCAATTTTGTAGAGGAGGGGTAAGGAGAATGAAAGCAGATAATCTTGTAAGTGGTAACTATAAACATCTGTTTATGTTCACTCCTTGTAGACTTTACAGGTTGTTTTTAGGCATTAGATTTTACTCATATTCTCTTTCTACTACTGTAGATATAAGAAAAACAAGAAATACTGACAATCCCACTACCCATAAAGACATTTGAAAACTTTTCTTCAGTCTTAGTTTTCTTCTTTAACATAGCTGGGATCATATATAGCGTGTCCCCCTAAAATGGAGGATTCCTTTTTTTCAATTTGTGTTTCTTGGGAGGAAACTAATAAAGTGTGTGTGTGTGTGTGTGTGTGTGTGTGTGTGTGTGTGTGTGTATAGTACTCATTTTTATGCAAACTTTTTTTCCTGTTCAAATGTTTAAGCGTGTTATATATCGTTCACTATGATACATACTTGGAATAAATTCATTACAGTAGACATGTTCTCTCTTTAACACAGATGATAGATATTAAATCAGAAATTATACACATGGGTTTGGTAGGGAAAGAACAGGGCAATGTAGCAACCTGTGGGATCGCAAGCTAGCCTATGGGTACATGCAATGACTAGATGATTTCATAACATCTGGAACATAGACGCTGAGTAAAGATCTGTTGAATATATGGTACAGGGATTTAACTTTGTTTTGGGTTATTTTTATATATTTTTTCGTTTTCTGCAATTGTACAGGCCCTAGGATGGTCTTATTAAAAAGCATGGGCTTGAATTGAGCAGACTTTAGGCTAAATCCTGAGCTTGCCAATTACTATGACAGTAATAATGACGACCATCAATTTACTACTTGTTACCTCTGCCAGACACTACACTAAGAACTTTGTATTTAATCTTAACTATTCTCTCATATTACAAAAGTTCCTTCACTGCTTGGAGCCCTGTCTCTAAAGTGGGATTGTGCTCTTCATCCCATGGAGCTGTAGTGACGGTTACTGAGATAATGTATGTAAAGTGCCTACTACACTGGTAAGTAGTAGGTGGTACATAGACTTTTTCTGTCAACTAAAATGGCCCAATTCTTTTTCAAGAAAGTTATAGATCTAGGACACTCTGCTTCAGGCTTATTGAATTCAAAGAGGAATGGAGTTACAGGGAGACTACAGCCAGTGGGCAATGTTTTTAAAAACTGCTTTCAAATCATGGAAAAAGTCAAGTGTACCAAATTCTACAATGTAAATTAGCCATACTGTTCTCATTAGAGACAGATACACGCTACTGGAGATCACGGTGAGCAGTGCTGGGCTCAGCCTCTTTCCTTGTATCACTGTTTCCCAATTTTCAGTCCTCAATTTCAGCCAACTCAACTCTATTTTTGTCTTCACATATGATATATAATTAGTATTTTCTTTAAATTGATCTAATAAAATGTAGATTTTTTTAAAAGTCGTTTTGTGATTGTAAATAAAAAATCAGTTTCTTGTAATCAAAAGGCAATCACAAATGTAACTATACTAGTATATTGTATTCTGCCTAGATTATATACCCTTTCCAAGGCTCTGAGCCTAATGCCTGACTGTTTAAAAAGGGAGATTTTAAAAATATATATATATCTTTATTAATTTCAGAGGGAAAGAGAGAAAGATCAATGATGAAAGAATCATCGATTGGATGCCTCCTGCACGTCCCCCACTGGGGATCAAACCCACAACCTAGGCATGTGCCCTTGACCAGAATCGAACCCAGGACCCTTTAGTCCACTGAGGGTGTATCCACTGAGCCAAACCAGCCAGGGTGAGAATATATATATATATTATTGATTTCAGAGAGGAAGAGAGAGAAGGAAACATCAATGATGAGAGAGAATCATTGATTGGCTGCTTCCTAAATGTTTTCTACTTGGGATGGAGCCTGTAACCCAAGCATGTGCCCTCAGCCAGAATAGAACCTCTATCCACTGATCTGAATAGACTAGGGCAAAAAAAGGGAGAATTTTAATAGGTTAGTGATATTAAAAACATACTAGTACCAAATGGAGACTTTCCCTCAGGTAATCAAATAGAGAATTGAAAAGGCAGTAACTTGGTCATGGGAGGGAAGTTAAGGGTGACTAGGCCAGCAGGGAGGGCAGTTGGGGGTGACCAGACTCATGGTTCCATTCCCTGTCAGGGCACATGCCCAGGTTGTGGGCTTGATTCCAGTCTGGGCCATGCAGGAGGCAGCTGATCAATGATGCTCATCATTTCTCTCTCTCCATCTCTGAAATCAATAAAAATATACACTGAGTGGCCAGATTATTATGACTACAGTAAATCAGCTGTACACTGCATCATATGGGATATGGAAACCGAAGACCTATTTGAACACCTTTGCTATCTGCATTTAACAAGATAAAATGTCTCCAATTTGCATAGGAACACAAGGATTAGACAGTCGAGCATTGGAAAAAAGTCATGTGGTCTGATGAACCACGCTTCCAGTTGCATCATGCAGATGGCAGATTGTGAATTTGGAGGAAACAGCATGAAGGCATGCACCCCACATGCATGAGTACAACTCTTCAAGCTGGTGGGAGCAGTGTTATGGTTTGGGACATGTTTTCCTGGTATGATTTGGGCCTTTTAATTTATGTGGAACTAAGTCTGAATAGCACAATATTTTGCTATTTTGCAACCAAAGTATCATTGCTGATCAAGTTCATCCTATCATGTTGATGGTATATCCAATGGAGATGGCTTCTTCCAATAAGACAATGCACCATGTCATGGTGCTCGTATTGTGCAGGAGTGGTTTCAAGAACATGAGGGAGACTTTACCTTGCTTAGGTGGCCCCCACAATCACCAGATCTCAATCCAATTGAGCATTTGTGGGACGAAGTTCAAAGAGCCATCAGGCAGCTGGTTCCACAACCATCAAATCTCACAGAACTGGACAGTGCTATTCATCAGGCATGGTGTCAGATTCCTCGCATCACCTTTCAGCATCTTGTGGAGTCAATGCCAAGAAGAGTCGCCACAGTATTGAAGGCAAAAGGTGTCCCAACCAAAGTACTGATGGGGTGGTCATAATAATCTGGCCACTCAGTGTGTGTGTGTGTGTGTGTGTGTGTGTTTAAATATGTTTTATTGATTTTTCACAGAAAGAAAGAGAGAGGGATAGAGAGTTAGAAACATCGATGAGAGAATCATCGATCAGCTGCCTCTTGCACACCCTCCACTGGGGATGTGCCCGCAACCAAGGTACATGCCCTTGCCCGGAATCAAACCCGGGACCTTTCAGTCCGCAGGCCGACTGCTCTATCCACTGAGCCAAACCGGTCCCGGCTATATTTTTAAAAGATAAACAGAAATGGAGATTTTGGCTAAAGAATATGTCTTCAGGCTTTTGAGACATATTTCAGAGTTGC